CACAAGCATGTGGTTATGCAGAAACGGAATCAAGGGAAAAAGGACTCTCTGCAACTCGCCTCATTCTGTCAATCTGCCTAGTCGATTCATCATTTACATCTTATTCAATATTGTGATTCATGGAAATAGCTTACGCGACATTACAACCAAGATTAAAGAAAAGAAGAGGAACAAGTTGCATAAATTTATAGTACAAGAGGAGATTGTATGTCAACGCAGATAATGGGGAAGTTGACCGGAAAGGTAAGGGACTAAGAATGTGGATACAAAAATCACAAAAAGTGGGAATGACCAGAATATTTAATTTTTTGCAAAAGTTGTACAAATTGATCGAGCTACATGCGTTGAAATCGTCTCATATTTCGATCAGGTCGAACCGTATATAATTGATCTCTAGCATTGAAATTGACAGGAACATGCAGAGGTTGCACGTAGGGGGGAAAAAATGTTACTAGTGTAATGTTAGCAAATAGGTAGCTGACTTGTATGCATGAAAACTAAAACATTTGTGGAATGATATGTATGACTGTTTGCATAAGACATAAAAAAAAAATCATACTGGAAAATAAATGAAAACAAAAAATAAAAGAAAAACTACGTTACCAGCCGGACCGCTCGGGTCCCCGGGGGCAGCCCGTGCAGGGACCTATGGAAGGTCCCAAAAAAAAAAAAAAAAAACATCAACAAAATCTGCAAAAAAAAACTATGTTATGCAGAAAAACAAATTGAACAATTTTTGCCTCAGGATGACATCGAAAATTTTCACCAAATTTAAAATAAAAATTAAAATTAAAAATAATATTTCTATTTTTATGTTTATTGTTTTTTTTGTCCAGCCGAGCAAGTGACATCGGACCACTCTGTTAGCCTAGGACAAAAACTAACTAACATGTTGCCATGCATGAATCCCTTCCAACTGTGTTGCAAACCAAATTCCTAAAACTACAAGTACGTTGTCAAATTCACAATTGCATCTTGTTGATGCTTAATGGGAGACATGTCGTGTACCTGTTCAAACTTACAAAGTGAGATTCGAGTTTAAAAAATTTATCTTTTACAACAACAATTCGTCAAAACAAATCATTTTTATCATCATACAAATTAAAGTACATAAAATAATATCATAATTTACATTGGTTACTAAAAGGCTACCTAGTTTCCTTGAGATTGACCTTGGTCAACACACTCCCTGTAAAAAAAAAAAAAAAAAAAAAAACTTTGTGATACACAATTGTAAATCAAACAACTTTTGGTGGAGGGTCACTCCGCAATTCGTTATGAATTCTAAAAAGAAAAAGAATAGAACATTTTTTAACCTTACCTATACCCCATAAAGTTTAACACTCTTTGGTGACACATCACCATATGAAAAAATATATTTTGATTTGAGCACATCTCATCGTGCGCGAACTGCTCCATTGCCCCAAATATAAAATTGACCTCTCTTTTGACATCTCGATTTTACCTTGAGTGAGTTGCCCCCCGAACAAGCAAACAGGGTCACCTCACTGCTCGGTCAGGGCAGAACACCCTAGTAACCAAGTAATTTAACTTATTTTTAACTTTGATCGGTGAAACTATATTATGAAAAAACCTCATATCATTACAAAATAAAAACAAAATATAACCTTTATTTATCATAAATGTTTAAATTGAATGTATAACTGTTTTTTTATTAACTCTAAAAATTGAATTTTCAATGGTAATATATGACCTGGTTGACAAATGTATATATCTACTTATCGATTGTTCAAAACTTTAACATGATCTTAAAGTTTGTAGTTTACAATTTGTCAGGATATCATTGACCACGGTGTATTTGTACTGATCAGAATGAAAAAATAAGTATAATTCACATAAAATAAGTATTTTTGACCAAATTTAGATAAATGTATGCGATGTATAATGTCATATGAAGCTAGAGAAAAAAAAGAGCGAAACTCTAGGCTAACAGAGTGGTCCGGGGTCACTTGCCCGGTCGGGCCAAAAACAATAAAAAAATCAAAATAAAAATAAAAATAATAACTTTTTACTTTTTATTCTAAATTTGGTGCAGAATTTCGATGTGACCCTGAGGCAAAAGTTGTTCAGTTTATTTTTTTTCCATAATATAGTTGTTTTTCTGATTTTTTTGATTTTTTTTTTTTTTTTTTTTGGCTGGGACCTTCCTTGGTCCTTACACAGGCTAGCCACCCGGGACCCGAGCAGCCCGGCTGGTAGCTTAGGCGAAACTTATTTTTTTAAGTAATATTTCACGAATTGCAATGCATTTTTTAATTTTAATGAAAAATATATTTTATTTTATTCAGCACTACAATAGACTAATAATTTGTTTTAATAATAATTGGGTCAAATTGACTAATATTTGATGGAGTGACCATATGAAATTTGAATATTTGGAAACATTTGAAATTTATATCCTTGATTCTTTTATATTTTGAGTTAATTTGTCGCATATAGCAATAGGATATTCATATTTTGTGATTTATTTCTGATTATTAAATAACCCAAAATTTGAGCATTTTATGTATAAAAAAAAAAACAATGTTCTTATTGTTTAAATACGTTGCAGATCAAAGTATATCGTCGTTTTTAAGACTGTGTAAAAAAGGAAGCATTCTCATTGTTGGAATAAATCAAAACTCGTACCCGTAGTACAAAACCCGTTAATAACGGGTTTTCAACCATGTATACGAGTTTTAGTTCAGTACGGAAAATGAATCATCACAAGCTGAATTTATGCAACAAGGCTTAGAAAAGAACAGAGAATTTGACAAACAACCACTGGGCAACAAATTGTAATCATGTCATTCCTTTCATAGCATTAAGGACCGAGAAGTATACAATCAGGTAGGGCTACCTGCATTGGATTGAGGTCAA